GGTGATGTTTTGTGTGTGTGTGTGTGTGTGTGTGTATGTGTTGAAGGTGATGTTTGCTGTGGGGGGTATATGTGTTGAATGTGATGTTTGATGAATTTCGTATATGTGTTGAAGTCGATGCCTTCATGTGTGCATGAATGTGCATATGTGTTTGGAATGATTGTTTGGTGTGGGGTATATATGTATTTGTGAAAACCATTGGGTGTTTGACATGTATATCTTGGGGTGCTGTCGTTTGTTGGGAATTGTTATTGTGACGTGTAGAGGTCAATAGAATGTTGTGTGTGCGACCAGTGTCGTTTGGCTGCTATGTGTTAAGAGGGTGCGAGGTTACAATTAACCAAGCAGATCGACAATTAATGAAACCATTTCATTGCTCATTAGTAACCCTATCCATCGTGTGACATTTTCCAATAATAAAATGCACTTTATCACTTTCCCCAAGTGCTCTTGACGTTCTGTTTAACAACTCACTGTAATGCGTCTTTCATATCCATGCATCATTAAATCCTTTGATATAAAACGTCCAAAGGAGCTGAACTCCCAGATATACGCATCGTGAATTTTTTACCTCAATGAAATGGAATGGTATGACCCCTTTGTTGGCTGTCTGCGATTAAGGTCAGCAAAAAAAAAACTCAATCTGGGCAACGAAATGACATTTAAGTAGCAGTTTAGGTCTCTTTAGTGAACTGATTCTTAAATGTCACAGTCCAGTAATGCGTCCTTACCATTCTGATCATGAAGATTATGAGTCTATAAGGACAACTTGCAGTTTATGTCCATCTATTGTTAAAGTTAATAGAGGATAATACGTCATTCAGCATGGTTGATGCCTATTTGATATTACCGAACTCTTACAAAAAACGGAATGAATTGGCAAAAATGTACAATAATACACCATTTGCAAGACAAACGAACTATATATACATTTATATTAAAATACATTGAAGGACAGAAGAAAGTACACACAAAAATTGGATTTGATCAAAACGTTTCAAACATTTTCGAAACATTACTTTGCTGAAAATAGTTGCTGAAACATTAATCAATGACGTATACTTTCTTTTACCCGAAAGTTAATATATACAGAAACCTCATTATCTCAAACCCCAAGAGATCATGGAAAGCATTGCCAGTCTTATGAAGTAAGAGACAAATGTAATATCAATTCCGTAGGGTCCACAATTAGAGATCGAGGAGTTTCGGTATATGAGACAGAAACCACACGTATCTATATACAGTGAAGCCTCGTTAATCCGGACGGTTGCGTTTCTCAGCAAATTTGTCCGGATATCGAATTGTCCGGGCTACTGAATCAAGACCCAAGTTCAAGCAAGAGTTGCTTCCCCTTACTATTACAAAAATGCGGTAGTCTCATTTCGTTTTCTTTTAGCAGGTTGACTCGCCATGTTTGCTGACAGGTGTCAATCAAACTGTAAATGTACAGCTTCAGTCGGGAGCTTTTATGTGTAATTAAAACAACAACCGTTAACTGACATAACTGTATAGGTTTAATTTGGTGATGGAAAGGAATATCAGCTGCTCTGTGTATTATCCTATATTTATGTATTTATTTCACCAGATAAACACATGCTGTTCAAAGTCAAAGTATAAGCATTTGAATGAAGATATATGCACAAACCTTGTTTTGATAAGGCATCATCTGATAAAGTGCGGTATTAGCCCGTATTTCCTACTCGTCCTGGTAATTAACAAAAAGATCGATCGGCAAGTAGGGTTCAATTAACAGTGTTAGAGCCTCTGCGCCATACACGCTTACCCTATTCTGGTTTGGAACCCTGAGCTTACAATGTGCCCACTTTTGTTAATGACTGTGTCAATCGTCAATACCATTCACGATTAATCGTGTTTAGGAAACGGAGATGTGCATATTACATATCAATAATCGCATTGTACTTTCCTGTGCACTCAACGTCAAGTCATTTCCCATCGGTCTTATTATGACTTCACTATACACCACTCTAGATGTCTGACAAAGCCTATAGAGTTCCACGTAACAATGTCATGAGCCGGCTCGTGTAGTCCAGAACGCAGTGTTCGATGTTAAAATGGTATTACAGAATGAATGTTGCCAGACAATGTAAACGTTAATTGTAGAATATTTTCTTCAAAGTACAAGATCTGATTAATCCTGTTCAGACGAGTCAAATGTAGCTAAGTATAGAGGAGATGTGTTCGCTGGAATTTATTTCAAAGAAACCAGAAACGCCAGGAAATTAGTTTTGCTGAATATTTCATTGGATCGGATTTACAGAGAAATGAGCTGGGAAGTGTGGACATTGGAGCCAATCCCGACTGCGAGACCCCCTTAAACAATCGACTTGTCTCGATGGTTTGACCAATTTGAACTAAGCGCTATATTTATAATGTAACAACCGATGTAGACAGCTGTATGTCGCTGACAGCTGCAGGCGTCAACTCACGCCCGGGTGAGCGCTGTCTTAACACTATAACCTGAGCAACACAGCACGCCAATCAAGGTCGTTAGGGTGAAATGGTCAAAAGGTCATTTATACTCATATCTTTTAAAAGGAACATTGTCAGCATAACGTCAGACATAGCGTGTAGTAAATGAGTGAGTGAGGTTCGTGCAACGTTCTTTGGAACTGGTATTATACGTTTGACTGAACGTAGTTTGGTCTAACGAAAGCGACGACATTGTTAATACAATATTATTCTATTTACTATAACTTTTCACATGAATTTTCAGCTATGACTAGCTTAATAAAAGGAACGTAAAACGTTACTTCCTTGGAGCAAGACCAACTGAAATGGCTCCGTGTACATACTGTCTGGTTAATGAATGGTTCATGACATGCTTTTATAATTTTATTTACAGGGTTAAGATCGAGTTGATACCGGTCTGTTCGGTTTAATGCCACTGTGAACAACATTCAGATATAACGTATTGCAGCTTACTTCTGCGAGACGGCATCATAGAGGCGTCATAAAGCTTAGTCAGTTAAATCCTGGCGTGGCAGCTTAAAGCGAATGGATTGCTGGAAGTAAAGCAGATCTTCGAATTTTATCACTTCAGTAAACCAGAAACATCAAAATCACGACAATTTGTTTTAGCCGGACTCCAGGAGCTATGCTGGATTGACATCCTGTGCTCCTTGCGAACTGGTAAACATATTAATATACGACCGGTTTTTTTTTTGCAAGACCGCTACAGTTGAAAGGAAACGTTTCTTGGTAGGCCTGTTCAAATGTAGTAAAGGGACATTTTTCCGACTGCACTTGTTTGTTAAGAATAGGAAGAGAATACGTGATCAATAGAAATGCTACATGTAGATAGATGTTCCTATTGATCCAAACAGGGTGTTTCCTCTTGCTTCTTGCTCTTACAAGCGTCATTAATAAGGCATTTAGGTGCTCACCATAATGGTTTTGTGAGAATGAGTGAGTGTGTGTGTGTGTGTGTGTGTGTGTGTGTGTGTGTGTGTGTGTGTGTGTGTGTGTGTGTGTGTGTGTGTGTGTGTGTGTGTGTGTGTGTGTGTGTGTGTGTGTGTGTGTGTGTGTGTGTGTGTTCAGTGCTCCATAATGATAAGTTGTTGAAGGTCCGGTTGTTTAGGGATCGCCTGTCCTGAGAACGGTGTAACGGCATCCTAAAAGACATTTAGATATGGTACTTGTTGATGCCCTGCCTTGTAGATGAAACATGACAAGTCGGCTTGGAATATCCTATGTCTGTATACATCCAATACGTCCCGATATAACTGAAGACGACGTTGAACCTCATTTCTCTTCAGCTATCGTTTCTGTCATCGTGGATACATTGCCTGCTCTTCGGATATGGAAAAACAGACACCTATCATATTAGGACCTGGAGTTCTCTCACTCCCAGACATACAGGTGTAAATAAAGACCGATGACATAAAAACATGTCTGGCAATTATGAACAAGATGCTTCAGCACGGTTATGTAACTTTTACCCTAGTAGCTTCAAAGGGCTTTCCATTTTCATTATTTTGTGGTGTTTTTTTGTTTTATGTTGTTGTTGTTTGTTTTGTTTGTTTGTTTTTGGGGGTGCAGTTAAGTAACAGCAAACATTTCTTTGGTCACGCAGGTATAAGGGCTATTTGTTGTTTTAAAAGATATAAAGCTCTGGAAACATACACACCTATCCATTTATGGTACGTATAAACTTGACATTTTGTGAATTTACCTAGCCCAAATTGTGTAAGTGAGAACAACCCATATTTTTTATATTGTTCTAGCTTTGATGTATACTCATATACGTATCAAACTAAAGTAGTGGCATAGACCCTCACTGCCTCTTAATTCGTAGTCGAGTGGACCATTGAAAACATTAGTCTAGTCGTACGTCAAAATTCGAGTTAAATGGATTTTGGAACGTTCATTTTAACCTATTTGGGATCAACTGGTATCATAACTTCTTGATTATAATTGAGACACACATACTTACGATACAGTATAAATTGTAAATTACAATTGTACCTCATTATCAAACAAAGATGGAGGTACATATTTCCTTAAATCTGGAAAATAGAAAACAAAATTTGTGTAACATGATGTAGCTTGGGTTCTTTGCAATCAGACTTTACACACTGTAGAGGAATCGAACCTTGGTTCATAGTGTCACGAAGGGACGCTTTAAGACCTTGACCTCCCAATCGCCCCAGGAGTACAGAGTATTTGATGTAAATATATGACAAGATATAAACAAAACAGTTGAGAGTCTATAATTAGTCCCCATTTTGTCCTTGTCCCATAAAGCGACCTAATGTATCTGACACTGATTGATTTGGTTGACTGCGTGTTATCTTACCCCCACCACATCAATCTTTGCTCACGTTATCAGTCACTTATTTGGAATGGTCCAGACACGACTATCGACAGCTGTCGACAAGCCGCTGTAGTATTAGCGTGGGAATGAAGAACACAGTACAAAAGAAAAATGAAAAAAACACACGAACAAAATCAAAAAAAGGCAAGAAAGGTTTAACACTCACCCTTTGAAGAGAGTTGTATATATCACTCCCGTGCATCCAAGGAATAACAGGCCGTTCATCACATGGTATTCCTCTTGTTTTGTTGTAATTGTACACTGTACGTCTCCTGAACGTATAATTAAACACATCCGTGTTCCGTCGAATCATATCCCGAAGAGCTTGATATAATGCTTCAACTACATCGACTGACAGTGCTGCATCTACCTGTGGAGGACATTGTCGTTTAGACTCAAAATCATACCGAATGAATACATGGAACGATGTCCACAATATTGACGTTTGGGCTTCAACGGTCTATAGACAATCCAAAACAAGCTGGTGAATGATATATAGGTATGACATGACCAAATGTAAGAAGATAGTTCAAAGAGTGAAAGGCACAAAATCATGTGCAGGGTTACAGATCAAGTGCATTCTGGGGCTTGAACTTGGGATTCGAATATCAACATCACATCCGGGCTGGGACGGGTAGGAAATAATGGAATCGAGTACCCGCATGTACTTACCCGAATCGGAATCGAGTACCCGGAAATGTAAGGAATACATAGCTTCAGTCAACTTTCTGAATATTCAATCACGATTTGACAGATATTATAACAGAAAACCTCAAAGGATGGCAATGGGACATTGAAACTGATCTTAGGCTATTTGATTTACGTCTGTTTATAACTAATATAAAGAGTAACACCATTACTTACATTGTTACTTAAAACACAGAACTTTTGTTAAAACACAGAAGTTTTCATTCCCGCTGTTACTGTGATTTGACTAATCACTGCTCATGCGCAGATAAATTACCGTCGTTGATAACCTCCATTAAATGGACAATGCCAAAATGTGTGTTACGTTAATAATGAAAAAGACCAGTTATTCATTCAGCCAGTAGACAACTACGTTCATGTGTGATATTCTAACTGAACATATAATGTTTTACATGCAGACTTTATGTAAACTTGCATAGAATACAATTTGATTGATGTATTTACTGACCGGAGAATTCTGTACGAGATATACAGACAGGCAAACTCTAATGCAACTGAGTTAAGCAATATAGCAAAATGCTTGGCTCGCATCTGGGAAGACTGGTCATTTTGCTCTGTTGCGCAACTCAGTTGCATTACAGTTTCCTATTAAATGAAAAACAAAACTATTGTTAAATCGATATTCTAAAATTGTATCTATCTTCATTGGAATAACTGTATGCTGATTATTATTTGTTAAACTATAAAATGTATATGTTACGTGAGTTCTGCTTCTATTTCTGATCATCTTCCTTCTTATTGTAATGATAACCAGTCGAACATTGTATTTGCAAATCAGAATGTTAATTCCTTAGTTTTAATTGATATTCCCAACACATACAATCATTTAATTGCAATCTCTTTAATAGTCAATGTATTAATGTTTAACGCAAATGTAAAACTGTTTTTCATGAAATTGAAATAAAATAGAAATGTACATGTAATCGTAAAAGCTTGATAAGCAATGAACACAAATACACAATGTAATGAACACGTTTATTGTTTAGGTTGTGTTTTAGTGCAAGATGTTTTGCATTGACCTTGTACAGCTTCCGCAGTAGATTGACATATTAGATTGAAAACCGTATGGGTCTTCAAATTTGTAACTGTGTTAAATTATGAGATTAAGTATATCCTGATCTTGGCGTGTCAGCTTCATAGGGGATGAAGCCCAGGAGTAGCGCAAGTCCGACACCTTCACCACTTCAGTAGAATTCACTTGCAGGGTCTAACACTGATAAATCTCAAAACCATAAGCAGACTGTACTATCAATTTCAGACATGATACCACAGAGTCGGCATTTGGTTCTCTTTGCCATTTGCATCAAGCTCAAAATGAGCCCAAACACTCAACTTAGCATGCGTGTCGTCCATATTGCTCTAGGTTAGAGTTACCTGCCCTTGTCATTACTGAGTCGTCTCTCTTTCCGGGTACTCATGGAACGATTCCTTGAAATAGGACTCGATTCCAGCTGTACCTGGTGACCCGGATTGACATGAGTATAGTTCGAGTATCCGTCCCAGCCCTAGATTCGAACCTATCAACATCACATCCAAGCCTAAACTCTGATTATCCTTTCATAGATAGGTGTATCATCATTAACGATATCGGTTCATTTTTAATTGTCCATTTGCAGTTATTCAAACAGATTATGATGAGGAGTAATGCCTCCAGCGTTCAAACATACAGTGAAAAGTTACTGAAATGAGCTGGGGAATATTTTCGAACGTTTTTCCTCTTGCAGTCGATATTATATATAAGCTGACTGCATGTCTCCAGGCAATGCATAAATCAATGTATGTCCATGCTTTGAAATATTTACTTTCAGTGGGATGGGACATTACATTTCCTGCAATTAACCAATGGCTCATAACCTGTTTTCTTCCACAAAAAATGAAAATAAAGGTACGTACTTGCACCAACATTTACGAGCCCTGTTTCACAACTAAAAGGGTTGGAAGCGTTACAATTCCTATACCACGTGAGACTGACGCCTGTTGTAGCTGTGCTGTCGTAGTCTTACCGAATTTGTGTTGTTGTTTAGCGCTGCACTCAGCAATATTCCAGCTATATGGCGACGGTCTGTAAATAATGGACCTGGACCAGACAATCCAGTGACCAACAGCATGGGTATTTGGGATACGATGGCATATGTCAAACAAGGCAGCGAGCTGACAAGTATTGGTTAGTGAAGACCAGTTCTAACCCGGATCTTCGGGTATTGCCGAAGTTGTGAAAACGGGACCTTTGCGTATGCAATGAAGTTGTTATCAACTGAATAGCACATTCAGTCAGATATATTCAGTGGAATAAAGTTTCACAATTTCCGAGTAAGGAACACAGAAAACACACTATACATATCATACTTTGTCATATCTTTTCTGGATAATATGTAATGGCAATTTGGGTCACAGTTGTTTAAGGAATCGTAAGTCGTTCTGCTGGTTCTAATGGTTCCATAACACTAAGCAAATGCCGTGGGTTGGAATCGATGTTCGCCTTGATATTTATTCTAAGCACAAAATCCATGCTCGTGGATTTCATAAAAGCCTGTATACGTCTAAAACATATGTAAAACTTACTATTAATATGATACGTTCCATGCATATAACGAACTTCTCAGAACGGGAGAAAATATTCTAATGTTACAAGGTATCTTTGCTATGCGAGAGCTATTTTTGCCGATTCCATCTCTTCAGTGTTATTTGTGACACATATCACAAACCAATCACGTTAACATATATCATACAAAAGGTCATATGCGATGTGAAGCTTGGCTGATCTCCCGTCTGTAACCCGATGCATCACGATGATGTTACTGATATTTATAACTGATTTTCCTCAAGTTTCCAGTGTCACCCCCGTGATCCTGGTTTTACATGACACTTCATTAACTTAAGCCTTCCTCACATATTAACCTGATATAATATGAATTACTAATAAAAGCAGCGTTGAACTCATTGAAATTAAATATTTTTCTTAAATTTCATACATGTTTAAAACATTCTAGCTTTTCCTATTTCGCTGTAAAAGTACATTCTACTTTGTGACAATATATATGTAACTACGTGAGTTTGGTTTAATGATTGCACACAACCCGATTGATGCCTAGTGGATAAACCGTTCGCTCATCACGCCGAAGACTCCTGTTCGAATCCCCTCACGGGGTCCATTTCTGGTGCCCCCCCACCATTATATTGCTGGAATCGCTAAAAGCTGCGCTAAACCTTACTCGGTCAGTCAAAGATACTCTTCAACCAATAGGAAATAATCTTCGTTGGGTCAGGTCATCAACATCGCCTGGTCATTCTTATGTGACTGATAAAAGAACACCAGGATACCAATCATACATATTCATAGCAATAATTACATCTCGATATTGGTATTATCATATATACTATGGAACCAAAGTGTTCAAATAAGTCATGCAGATTCACCATCTAGATTTTAATGGAACTAATTTACATTTTGCTGAGGTGCTTTCCATAACACACAAGGGAATCGATACATCTGTACTAGGCTATGCATGCATTCACATTAAATACAATATTAGACAAATAATCATGATTAGACAATCCTCGATGTCCCACATCTATTGTACAGTTGTTGTTTTTTTAACCTATAGGCCTGACTCAACGTCAAACGTTATTGAATATATAGATTAAAAAAGAGGATGTTATCTATATATAGTGATGGAAACGATTAAGGGTTGCATGAAAGTACAAATATGAGTATTTCTATATATTTTCCAGGTTTTCTATTGCACCGTGGTTGACGATCTGACAATAAATAAAGGAACTCTAAAGCTTTTTCTTTTATTTCGTCCCTTGTTCGTTTCCAACAGTGTATTCGTTTTCTGATTACTTCTTTGGAACATTCCCATTTTGAAAATATAACAAAAATGTCTTTGACAAATGGTTTTCAAGTGCCATTTGGATTTAACCCTGGAAAGAATAACTGTCGAACGCACTTCCACTCATCAACAGCAACCGCTCTCAAGAGACAAGGAGCCCGGAAATAAAAATAACCAGGGTGAAAAGAATATTTGTCATTTACTTAAACTCATGCTAGGTACCTGAACAAAATCCTGCCCTGCTCCGGGCCACACTGTTGACGACAGGTTTCTCCATCCGCCAAGAAAGCTTTGGACAGTCCTTGAGTTGTGGTTAACTAGCTGAAATCCTGTAATGTTGACGCCCCCGTGACGAAATCGTGTGAGATTGAAATTTAGAATATCCTGAAAAATAACGGGAATGGTTTTACGAACGACAAATGATAGGTTGTCGGTACTCCAACGGCAAGACGCAAATCTCTTAAGAGGATTTCCATGACTTTCATGCTATTGTAATGTTGATAGCCTGTTATCAAAACGCCTCACTCGCTAAAAACTACAAGGTATAATGAATTACGTGAATCAATCTTATTGATGTCCATATTTTCAGAACAAATATGATTCGTTTTCATATGAATACGACTGTATGACTTCTGTGGACGAACGTTTATTTTGAGGAAAGGGTTGTTACATTTACAAGTTGATTTTATCATTAAGTACACACCTGCCTGATGTGGAGTACTGATAGACACGTCTGGTTCACTCTATGAATTGGTTGAGTTAAAGGAGCATTCATTATTATGTCATACATACCACGCAGTGGTATTGGTGACATAACAATGAAGCTATAATCAAAGTATACATACTTAGGGATGCATGTTAGTCATAAACTCCAGAATGCCCGTTTAAAGGACACACATGGGCAGAATGCAAAATTAAGACTTAAGAACATCTTGAGTTCAGAGCTGATGACCCTATAAAATGCTTTAAAATCTGACAGATATATACTTATCCTTTCTTATTGTTTGTAGCATGTATTAGACAAAACAAGAAACTGACATTTTAGGGTATAGACAGTGTCACCCTCAAACGAAGAATCATGTAAAGGAACATATCCCATCACCCTCGCTTTTCCTCTATCTATAACTGAAGGGTCAGATTTGAACAACGTTGAAGCTTTTCTTGACAAATTATACTGCGCATTTGTGAACACATAGTTGTTTGATGGTTCTCTTGTGAAGTATGTCAAGCTCACGGTGAATACAAGACATTCAGTGGTTTTCTTCAACGAGACAAGGATGTAGAAAATAATCTCAATGCGAATGTTGATTTTGTTAAAAAGTTTGTAGCGCTGGACGGAACAGAATTGAGAGTCTACCAAGAGGTGTGGCATATCAAAATGACACAGGTTCGGAAAAGGCTTTCAGAACGACCGCTGCCCCGAATTATGGGTGTTTTGTTGAGAAGACGTGAGTTCTGCCAAGTCTTGCTTAGCTTTGATGAAGTCCGCTAGCGTAAATGTGAAACGGAATGCGTTCTGTTTGCCACTCAAAACCAGTCACTTACCTATCAGAACCAATGTGGCATTTTGCATGAAAATGTAAATGCGCTGAATGACAGGCTTCTTGAAAACATGGCAAATATGCGGACCCGTGTTACGTTTGTATCCCAAGTACCACTTGTCCTACTCCCCGTTGTTCTTGGTGCCTCTGGTCTAATATTCCCCAACCTGATAACTGCCAATGGATAATACAGGAACGCAGCCTTTTTGAACCTGTTGGTCATGCAGAAGTCCGCAGTTTAAGAGACTCTCTTCGAAAGTTCTTGGTGGTATTGACTAGGCAGAGCTGCCATTCTGGGTTGCGCGCGTTATGTGTTGGCATGTGTCCCTGTGATAATTATGTGGCGACTGTTGTTGTTGTTGATGATGATGATGATGATGATGGTGGTGTAAAAGTTCAGTTCTCTTGAGAGTATCCTGATATGTTGGCTAAAAATTCAACATTTATCATTTCCTGACAATTACTGTTCAATTGTGAGTACAACTATCCTCAAGTCGTATCGATAGAAGTAAGGGCGGATGAACAGTTATCTGCCTTTGTCGATATGACTCGAGTCATGGCATACTGGAAACGAATTCCTGAAGGAAATGTATCAAAACATTGACGAATTGATTTTATAGCTGGCTGTGAAATATGCAAGGCAGTCCACGCTTGCACGTTAACAGGAAATGACATAAATTTATTCCACGATTTTCCCCGACGACAAGCAGACAGAAATAATACTGTGAAGAAAACGTGCACATGCCATCGACAAATTAGGTACTGAAAACATTTCATGGCACGTTTATGTCAAATTTATATCTTTTAAAACAGAAGGATGGCAGCGGTGCTGTCGATTTCTTTCATAACAAGGAAGCTGACATCTAGAAACATTTATCAAATCGATCATTATGACATTTCAACATTTACTTCATTACATACAACGTGTCCATTCCTAATAATTACTTGGTGCTGATGTTTTATTGAAATGAGTTTTTCGAAGTTTGTGAAAGTCAATATTATTTAGGAATAGAACATTTTATCTAGTGTCTCTTGAATGTCTGTATAAACTATTGATTTATTTATATATATGGTTCTGTATATTTGTTGCAAGATACAGGTGTTACGTTTGTGGTTTCTCCATTGATGTTTCGGATACTTTCCAGTAAGGATACCAGTCTATTATCTTCCACATCAATCCCATTTCCACATACTGAATCCACGACAAAGGTCGTGATGGGAGTCAATCAGAAGGAAACAGAATTACAGAATCACATTATGATTATGACAATGTCTCTAAATTGTCACTATTCTATGGGAAATACATTGTATGGGTGAAAGAAAACCCTGCTTAAATATTCAAGAATTAAAAACAAAATGTAATTATATCCATTATGTAACCAACATTAAGATTTGTAGACTGTATTCATATCAAATTGTGTTCGTATAGGAATCATAGCCACCCTCAGCAATTCGAAATGTTGCGTCCCTTGTGCATTTCAGGATCAAATGACCTTTCGCCTGAAGAGGACATTTTGAACTGAATATGACCTTCAATGTATCTGAAACCTTTCACCAAAGTATTAAACCTAGAAATTCTGCATCATTTGGGTCCTCATTTCCACATTACGCCCACACGCGGTGATACAACTCACTACCATTTAAATGACGTTTATCCCAATTCACTTACTTCTACTCTGACAAATCTTCATTCTCCGCTCAATAGAGAAGTGACAATGGAAAACGTGTATTTGGCGATAGATCGAGAAGGTCACGCTATCTTTTGAAACAACTGATTTCAATTCCGTGAGACATAATAGGGAAATGTTCCTATAAAGAAAAACCTGCATGGGCAAACTTTAATTTCGACTGTATTTGGTGAAATACAAATGTGATAAACAAGGCTTTCAGCCGAAGGACAGCTATATGATCACATCAGTCTAAACACTTTCTCCACAGCCATGTTATATCAGATTTGAAACACAATGCCTTCCTACACGTTCGTCCCTAAACTTTATTAATATATTTTTTGTCGCACTGGGATGAATATATTCACCAAACACCACAACTAATGCCTGCAAAATTGCTGACGTGGCATTAAACACTCATTAAATGGAAGATAGATGATACCCAATTAGTTAAGTTTAGAGGTTGTATCTAAAACACCAGTTCCTTGAGTGTTCAAACTAATCGATCGTCTTCTGTCACTTTTTAACTAATCATTTTCTGTTTAGTATCTGATGGTGATCAATCACTGGTCTTATTTCTTCCTGGCAAGACGTGTTTTAATAGCGGTGCAAATAAAGTCCTCTCGTTGTCTTGGATTAAAACACCATGGTGTTCGGGAGTCTCCCCATGCCTGACTTATTTGTTCAAATTAGCGTAGTACTATCCTTTTAAAGAATGTTGTATTACCCCACTGTATAGAACGGATCATGGTTAAATTGGGGGTGGGGGATGGGGTGTCCCTATTTAGTGGGTTTTCAGTCACCGGTATTATTGGAAGGGTAGGTGGTTAGCAGAAAAAACTCATTTCATCCAACAACTTGGTTGTGCATAAGCACAGTGAGAAAACAGTATGCATGTACAGCTCTCGATGGAGTAGATTGGTTGTGTTGTAAGATATCGTGAGATTCACAAATAGTGTCTTCTCGAGTTATAGAATAATTAATGTATCGATGCCTCTCTCCCGCGAAAGGTCGTTATACGAAAACGTTCTTCCCCAACATCGGTGCATAGTGTGAAGCCGATTTCCGCTGTCGTCATAACTGGTCGAAATTGGACCATACAAACCAGTGTCTCACGGTGTAGACTTTGACATGCGTCTAAAGGATACGGGAGGGTTCCATCCACCAGTTTTATAAACAACAGTATTGAGAACCAGGAAACAGTCTGCCTTTAATACCTGCCAAAGTGTCTCCATATTGGCAGCGATGATTCACCATTCCAACGGCGCTTTGCCTGGTTCTGTCCACATCACTGTGGTCGGACGGTCATATGACAACGTCTGAACCACACAATATTCTGCATCGAGTTTATACCGAAACAGATTCCAAAGTGTAATATGAGATTACATAGTCTTGAACATTGTACCACAGACAATTAGAAAAGACATGCGCTGTTCAAGGAATGGGTATGCAGAGTTTCCTTCTGTTCCTGTAGTACCCAACATGTACATTAATGCACAAGTATCATTGAAAAAGGAAGTGTTTGAATGTGTTTTTGTGCAATGCCGGACTCACCAATACATGTAATATATATAACGACGACCTGTAAACAATCGATTCTGGATCCTGTGATTTGTATTGTCCTGTTCTTGCTCTGACTTCCAGACAGATTAGGGCGAGGACGTTATTAGACTGTAGAGGTAATTATGATGTGAGGTGCGAGAAGGTTAACGGTCACACACAGCTTTCATTCTCCTGGGTATCCGTTCTTTGCAGAGTGGACAGAGACATATTTTGGTCACCTTCCTAAGGTGACAACAAAAACATAATATGCTCCATTGTGAAGTGAGTCAGTGAGTAAGATTTCACGCCACTTTTAGCAATCGACCAATAATATCAAGATGAGGGAAACCAGAAATGAGCTTCACACATCGTACCCATGAGGTGAATTGAATCCCAGGCCACGGTGTGGGGAATACTTTAACCTGGAGACTACCCCACCGCCCTGAAGCCTTAGAAACTCTCACAAGTCAAGATGTCACATTAACCAACTATGTGATCTTGTCTATAAATAAGACTATACCTATAACAGGCTGTAACTAAAGTATGATGATAATGTTCCGATTGGCACGGTATCAGGTTGTAAATGTGACTATGTAAACATGTGATGGTGACTATCTCTATGAAAGTGTGATATGGGTGCTAGGGATGTGAGAATGACTCTTTGCCAATATTGAATATCCCCACAAATCTGGTTTAAAACGTAATGCTCAAAAACATGATTTGCCCGCAAGCAGATGATTGGAAGGAGATTAAATCTGTGCACGTTCAACTTGATTTATGGAGGAGAGTAATTGGAATATCGACACACCTTAACTTCAGTAAATTGCATGGAAAGATCATAATGGGCTGTACACCTTTTGTATTTTATCACGAGGTAAAAAAACCCACCCCGTTCCTCATGTGTTATTATGCTTGCAATCAATTTTTTAACAAACCACCTCCGTTTAACCAATTTTAAGGAGCGCTCAATATTACGTCAGCCCAACATACTTCTTCAGTCAAACTTTTGCGGTAAAATTATCATTCATTGTTCACTTCATAAATGTTTAATTTGAGCGCCTTTTTTTACTTTCCACTGTAAATTGGTTTAAATGATAGAACAATGATATATTGATATTGTCAAAAGGGATAAATACTATCCGGCATCAGGCATAAACTGACTTGAACCGTTCTTAAAACACCTGTCAGATGACTTCATCTAATCGACTCGAGTATCTATGACAGCGCCTTGTTCATTGTCACAGGGGACTGATAGCACTGTCTGTACTCAGGTCAGCTTGCTAGAAGACACGATGAAACGCGTTTTCAGTCCAGACCTGTGTGAATATCGAGAAACATATGTGCGCTCGTGTTTTAATGAAATACAGCCGTCACAAACAAGTTTGATGTTCCCGTATACAAACGGTGTTTAAGAAACTAAGCATTGTTTGCTCCAGAAACCCATGACTCTGTGGTACATCAATAAATAAACATACATCACTTTGGGCATGACGCAGGTTGTACACTGTCATGTCAACCAAGGGAAATCTGTGAATTGTTTCCACGAACCGCGCATCCTGATATGAACAAGGGACGTAATGCTGCATGATGATTTGCAGCGTCATTAATCACCGGCTTACCTTGGTTCCGGAAACGTGGTAACCTGTACAGTTATCTTGTTAGCATGTCATACACGCGTAACAGCAGTGAATAGCTGCGTAGCACATTTCGATAGCAAACCTGCGGCTTGAACTACTATTGCAAGAAACACCTACAGGAATATATACCAGATTAGCGTATCCTGTAGGGATTCTACTTTATAATAGGTTTGCAGCATCCAATGCTAGGGTGGTCAGTGGCAATGACTTTCTTGACTGAATACCATCGTATCACAAGGGGTGGAAGAGGCCTCATTACACCAGTCTTTGGTGTAAGTGTCCCAACTACGAGTATTTATTGACTGTCATATTTATGACATATGTTACCGAATGCGGCGTCAAAAAAAAAATAACCTGTGGCTTTACAAATGACTATCTCGATTTATTTACATGGGCAAACGTATCGGTATTTTAAAACAGCAACACACATCTTAAAGTAATATATCAAATGCATCTTTCCAGACTTTGCTTTAGGGGGTTATTCCGGTTCCTTTTCAAATTCATAATGTATTATATCTACCAGAGTAAAAGGATCTGATATCAATTTATTAGCCTATGTTTTTAAGCTAACTTAGACAGGTTTTTCATCTATCTGAAATCCGCTCGAAGACTTTCGGCGTCAGTTCCTGAATCCTTATCAGTGGATGGCGCTTTTTTAATATTTCATAGAAGATGCATTATCTCGTTCTGCCAAAGGGAGGCAGATTTGCTGTAACGAGCTTACAGTCAGGTCTAGTCTTTTATCTTGGGAGCAGTCCTGAAATATAGCAGATCCCAACGCCTTAATCTATATGGTTGTTGATGGAATTTCAGTGCGCCAAATAAGTCATACTCACCAGCGTGCCAAGGAGATAATTGTAGCCATTTCTATTCATCCCCACTTCAGGAATCTGCAACAAAAGAGCGTTCAGTGGTTGCTTCTGTATACCCACAGCGTAGACCTGATCAATCAAAACGTTATCGGTCAGTGTTGAACGTAGTATAAACACCAAGGAACCTGTAAATCTGTCAGAATCACAGTTTGAAGAACACTGTGTAAACAGGGGCGCCGTGTAAAAAAAACGGACTGATGCAAGATTTATGGCCCTAATGGATTGAGTAAACTGATCCGTTAAAGGGTGTGTTTGCTCTTTCACTTAAAAGATGGTGAACTTATGTAAGTGGCGTTAAATTTTCATAATAGTTTGGCGTACATGAAAATCGATGGCATGGCGTTTGAAGGTGAGATTGTATTGAAAGAATCGACATTTAATATAGATTCGGGCAGCCTCTAAACCAACATTTCGCTGTAATTGAATAACGCCAGACTTGCTTATGTTGCCATTTTCGGCCATGCAACGAGATAATCCTTGACCTTCATCTCCTAACTATCACGGAATCACATATGGCACATCAGATAACGTCATTTATCATTAAACATTCAAATAATCTATTGTGATGTAAAGTTCTCGTCGTTAAGTTATGCTGAAAACAGTCCCTTAATGAGGATATACAGATTATCACTTTATGAATTCTCTGAGAGAATGCGTTTATGACCGTGTTCTGTGCTGAATCGCTGTGAGGGATGTGGATCCTGATAGTCTGTCGAGGAATTGTATGACAAAAATACATTCCATAATCTGTCAGTTCAGTACCAAACGATTTGAAGCCAGGTGCGTCAACTTTGCAAAAACCCTCACACATAAAACTCTGACAAACTCCGACAATAACCAGTATTTCAGTGATGTACAGAACTGATTAAAATTAATTCCTGCAAGCTAAACAGGTTTTATGTTTATCGTATGGCAACGCAATGTGCAAGGGGTTGGTTTACGGCAAGAATATCATCATCCATTTTATAAATTGCATTGACAGTATATGAACTTGGTTTCAGTAGCATGTAGCATTTGTTCTTTTCATGTTCCAAGAATTCCTATTGGTGCTAACATGTATAAAGTTAAGTTACACCGATTGTAACCTTTAAACGAACGAGGGATCACACACGATATTTTCAATTAAGGCCCCAAAGTACAGCATTTATTTTTGGTTCATATTAAACTTCCCATCTTGCTTCATATTAAACTGACTTCACACATATGCCTTCGTTGCGGATACAAAATGGTTGCCTTGAAACTGCAAAGGGCCTACACTTGAGCTGATGTTGCTTCAATAAAAGCCGAAATATATTTAGCATGGAACTGTAGAACTGACACACCAAAACCAGTGTTGAACTACTACAGCTATTCTCTGTGATACTTTAAACTATCAATGCAAAGCTGCATTAAAGGAATATATACAAATGATGTCTATTGATTACCGGAACTATTTCCAGCACAGATTACTGGCACGACGTTCGGGAAACTCTAAAATCAAGACCTTCGGGTCAAAAACACATAATGTGTATTAGCCACCACTCGACACTGCTTTGAGCATATAACTGACGGTAACTTTCCAATGGCTTGAGATGAATTTGAATCTATTTTCAAAATCAAATCTTAATGGCACGATAAAACTCAACGTAACTGATACTTCAAAATATTCAATTTCAAAGACTCATTTCATTTACATAACGGTAACGTTTCCTTGCACAAGACTAATGAATGAGTAACGGGATGTAAAAGTTGTAAATAGCAATATTACATGCTTCGTTTCCCCGTATCCTAAGTGACCGGTTTTAGAGGCAGAAGCTAACCTCTCGGGTCACAAGAAGTCAGGGCTTAACAACATTTCGGAGTTATATCACGTATCTGGGGTAAAAACCGGTTTCTGAGGAAATGTTTTAACACACTTTATGTTCTATGGACGGTCGAAGGCGCACCTTACGCATGGAAATGTGCACAGATATTTGTCATGCAGTCCTTCTTCCTCAGCATAGCACCATTACCGTCAGCAAGTGCAGGATTATCGCACCCTTGGCTTTGGCAATGTCAGCATTAAGCTGTGAAGGCGAACTTTGGAGAAACGTTATGACCCTTTAGGGTACTATCCCATTTTATGTTTTCCCTGTAGTGTTTTACTAAAAGGCTAATTGCCATTTTCTCTTGCACAGTAGCATAAAGAAGGGGCTTTTGGAACGTTCGCCCGTTTTCTAAAGTGAAAACTACAATGTGTTGTGTTTCGTTTGATACGTAGTGATTGTTTCAGTACTGTGTTCTTTGCGCGATCTATTTGTGCGGCTGCAAACACTGTTATTCTGCCATCCAGTAGTGGTTTACGTTGACAAGATGCTTTCTATATTTACTGTGAGAAAAACACACAAAGAATATAGAAAAACAAGACGCAATCCAACCAACAAAGCAGGCATGCAGTATCAGGGCACTTGCTGGAATTACTTCACTTTATGCTTGGGGGCTCTTGTCTATCAGAATAAATAGCTACTAGAATCTAAATAGCTACTAGAACTGACAATGTCACATGAAGCGCATATCGTCTAAGGTGGTGTTTTTCAGCCTTACAAGGTACAAATATGTCTTCAATAATTGCTACCCGTGAAGATCCGGGTTAGCATATTGATCTTCAGTAACCCATGCTTGTCGTAAGAGGCGACTAACGGGATCGGGTGGTCAGACTCGCTGACTTGGTTGACACATGTCATCGGTTCCCAATTGCGCAGATCAATGCTCATGCTGTTGATCACTGGATTGTCTGGTCCAGACTCGATTATTTACAGACCGCCGCCATATAGCTGGAATATTGCTGAGTGCGGCGTAACATTAAACTCACTCACTCACTAACTGAATAATTTGCAGCTATATTAAAAAACAAAATACGCATCGAATATTGAACTAGAACCGGAGTAACGTGTTTATCTCCAACATACGACCAGTTAGTGATGAAGAGTATAAGAAGTTCGGTTGGTTCAGTTATTATATGTTTTGACAATTGGGTCTTGTGCATATGATCCTCACTAATGCCATCTGATAATGCACATAGGAAGACTCCAGTAGGAGTGACTGAGTTAATGACTCTGTCATATCGCGATGTGACAGCTTGATTTGAGAAACGTTGGACGTCATGCCGACTGTAGCATGTACATATTATCAGTCAGCATTGATATAGGTATAGATAGCTGTGGAATAGCTGTCTTAATCGACTTGATGCGAATACTCTATCAAGGGGAATATCAAACGATGGCGTTACGGGAAGCCGTTATGTTATGTGAACATGATGAGAATGTAAACCGATACAGTGTGTTGAGGCTATATCTGTTATTTAGTTTGGCATTCAGCATTCATGTAAAATCAATTTGATTTCAGGCATGAATTATGCTTTTTATAAAATACTGTTTTAAGAGGAATACTAGATATATTAATCGCTATAGGCAAATATTGTTTGGCATTACCGGTTGTATTAGGTTACCTAAAGATTAATAGATTCTGACATGTGTTTCAGTCATATGTTAGATCATATTACTTTTGAAATAAAGATATCTGACATTGGCTTGTTTCTCATACGTACACATTGAGGTTAATAGGCTAACTATACGTGTTACTATCTACATGGATATGTTTGCAAATAACATATATCATGAATCATACGGTCTCTGACTTACACGCGGTGACTGTTGAAGCTACGTATATCTCAGTATCTCAGACTCGACGTTGTACTGACAAACCTTGAACAATAATGAATTGGAATGGGTAACAGAATGAGCATCGATTCAAGCCACTGTTTGTTTCTCATCCACTCACCTCATTGTGAACATATAGCAGGTGCAGTGGAATATATCCCGGAACATAAGCAAAGGCCAGAATGAGTGAGAACATGAATATGGATTTACGCCGGATTAGCAATATTTTAGCAACATGACGACATGTTTATGTGACAAATCAGAATCGGCTCATGGCGTAACGAACCAACGTCTAAACGTCGAGTTTATACAACCTTTTGGGACGGAAAGCTACATATATAATTATTAATGTATAAAAATCAACATAATACATGTTTGGTCTCTAAACTATAACTAACCTGTCTCAGCATTTCATTATAGGCGTGATATGATGACAAATCCAAAATGATATTTTTGCAGTTTTGATGTTGGTTTCTGTCAAGTCTGCGCAGGTCTTCATGTGCATCTGTTACGTCATCAACTCGCCGGAAACGCATGTCAACTCGAGGCACAGCGTCCTTCAACTTGGCATGTAAATTCTGCACTCGCATCAGACCTTTAAACAGAAAATTACAACTGTAAAAGAACATCAATCCTCGTCTGAAATGAGTTGGCGAGAGCATTATCTAGATTAGTATAAGACTTCATTTCATTACCGTGGGAGCTGTTTGTGAATAATTGCTCCCCAATCATGTCTGAATGAATGAGAAGCAACCATCCATGTAAACACCAGTTCTAAAAATTGGTAATGCGCTTGGTTTGTTGCAGCAAAGTCAAGTTGCCTTCTTATCAAATCAAATGTTTGAGAGAACTTGGAATGGCTGTATGCAGATATTACCCACACTTACACACAAAAAATCGATCACGCAGACCCTAAAATATGTTTACGGGTTTACTCACGGAACATAATCAATTTTTTTATTGGCGAAAGAAATATATGATTTTCTGGTCTCGCTGGCTGGTATTGATTCCATATTATATTGTTATTAACTATCGCCAGGAAATCATAAAATTATGAATCGTTAAAATTTGGTTTATATTTTGGGGAAATGCGTTATGTTATATAGTTATACACTACCATAATAATTCTCACCGACGCATTACCATGGCAACGGTATTTTTTTGTCGAGGGGCACATGAGCAAGAGATGCAAAAGGAATCATTGCTGAAACGGTCAATGATATCTGTATGCATCTCTCCGAGTGTAGTATGCTTCCCTAAACCCATAAAGTTAACATGCTGGGGTTATTTATGACCCAGATTCTGGACATTTTAAGCATGGATGGAAACATTCCAATGGAACATGGCCTGAGTCGGTCTACATCACGGGAGCTTCCTTTGTTGCCTAACGCTGCACAGGGCACTCCCACTTAGCCAGAGCCTACCCAAAAATGTATTCTTAAGACAACATTGCGCGCTGGCGAGATAGGAGATGCGAACCAAGTAATTAGCATTCGGCACTGAAGCGTGAGTCTTTGTTCAAGGACTATAGTCTGTATCCACAATGCGACACGATTTAGGATGTATGTAACATGTACTAACGAAAAGACCCATTTCAGATAAAACAATATCAATTAACATGTTAACATTTTCAGCCACCATTTTTCATACTTATCTTCATGCAATACGTCTTTTGCATCAAGCATGTATATATTTACATTTCATGTAAAATTGAGTCATGTTATATACAATACATTCAGAGATACAGACAGTGAGATACAAACAGTGAGATTCAGCATCGGCATACTGCTCCATGGTTGTCTGACCGGTGACAAAGTTCATCTTCACATCTTGGTGTCTCGTCTCAAGATCGCTGTACTTCTTCTTCTTGTATCTCCGTCTCCCAGATCACAAGACCTGAATGATCTTCGTCTCAGTCTCAGCGCTTGCAGTTTCTGCAGTGTTGATAACAGCTTGTACAGGCTGAGGTGTGGTGTCTTCATCATCCCGTTCAGCTTGTGGTGCCATCCCCAACGTGGTTCGTAGTCCTAGGCCTTACTGTCTCAAAGTGGTTCCATGATGACCAATTGTCTCTGTTGATCCACTAAGCTGTGACACAATCTGCAAACCTGTCAACGCCTGGCACCTCTGGCGGTTTGTTTTCCAGTGCGAAGAACCAAATGTCTTCAACTCTGTTGACGGTAGAAGGGGAAGCACTGCAATACGTCTAACAAAGGAATGAACAGTGGGGTTGGCCTTGTAGGGAATGGCCAGGCCACTTGTCTATCGGGCATGCCTCCATGCATACTGCAGTGGCAAAAGACATCCCTTTACTTCCGATGTCGAAAACACTGACGTCTCTGCATTCCATGCTGCTGTCTCGAAGTCCATGAACACTGATGTCGGCGACAAAGGAACAGAGGAACGGGTACTGACTGTGGAGAACTTATGTTTATAGGTCGTCTGCTTCTTGTCGGAGGAAACATCCCTAGGCCGACCTGGGCATGTACTGTGTAGATCTGCTTGATGATCTTAGGGCAGGACTTGAACGTTCCATCGCAGAACCATGTGTCGACGATACTCAGGTGTCGAAGGTTGGCATCTGTGGAAAACAGGAGCATGTTGTCCGGTTAAGGAAATTTTCCCGGTCATCGTCTCTCTCCATGGACTTTGGAGGTTGATTTCCTCACGGGTCTTAGGCAGGGCTGGTATCGTCTTGGATCGCTGTCGGTATGTGGCGGCATCTCAGGCGTCGTAGTTGGGAAGTCGTCTGACAAATTCTGCGGTGTCGTCGGTCCAATTGTGATCTCTGAGGCCTGACACTTCTTCGGAGGAGATAGCGGGAATCGGGGTAACTTCTTCACTGCTTCTCTTCTTCAGAGTGTTCGTCACTTCGATGGTCATGTGTTTGATCAAGTTTTGTCAGGATGATGTTTTTGTGTTGCGAGTGGCAGGGCATCCCAAACCGTGGTGTCGACAACGCCAGTGGACAGTTTAATTCCTCCATCTGGCTTTCACACTGAACCGGTAGTTGTTGTGAACAAGATACTGACCGCCTCCGTTGTTGTCTATGAACGTGATCGAAACACATGCATTCAACACTGTGATGAAATTATTTGGGCAAAGTTTGCCAATACATACCTTCTCAGTGGTAAATCTTGTTAAAACCATTTCAATGTATCTCACCTTAACACATATATGAAAAGTCTAAAGAACTGCAAATTAACACCATATCAATGTATAACAATTGTTGCAGAATATCTTTGAGTGACATTTCGTTGTAGGACAAGTACATGACATATAGATCCGCAATGTTCATCCAAATAGTCAGGAAACCACGTTTTGTGTTCATGTGGGCAGTTGGCTGTGGTGATTGTGAAGTTTTGTCTCACACAGAGAGTGGATCCTTAATTTATGCATGGGACCTATGTGAATCTAAAATGTAAGATTCCTTTATCTTGGTGCTTTGTTTGTTGTTCCAACTGTAAATAGATCGAGTCGATCTATGTAAATGTGACAAGAATGATATCTTTGAGTGGCATTTCAAAAGTTGGGAAGTGCAATATTGAACCTTTTCTTTCGTGAGTGCGACGTTTCGATACAGATTCCGAAATAAAAGAAGTTGTTATCCATAAAGTTTGTTCAATATTGGGACAAGCATGGGTTGCTGAAGAGGAATTCAAACCCAGATCTTCACTCATTTCTCAACTCCTGTGACGTTCTTCCCGACACTATACAAATCTAGCATCATCACCAACGGCGCACCGATCTCCCCGCTTACATTCATATTCATTTGATATAGCTTACCATAGGTGAAGATCCAGGTTAGAATTGGTCTTCAGCAACCTATGCTTGTCGTAAGGGCGACTAACGGCGTCGGGTAGTCAAGCTTAATGACTTGGTTGACACGTGTTATCGTATCCCAATGTCGTAGATCGATGCTCATGCTGTTGAATACTGGGTTGTCTTGATTAACAGACCGCAGCTATATAGCTGGAATACTGCTGAGTGCAAACAGTACAAGATATTGCGGATACAGCGATGCTCGATGCTCGCCAGTGTAATACTACACACGTGTACCTCAAGCACAAACAACAACGGATTTGATCGAAGACATGGTGTTGGTGTTGCTCTAATCTTCTTTGACACCCAAATAGTTTAACAGTAACCATATGCTTATAATGCTGATGAATGACTTCGTTACTTCATTTTTGAGACCTCAAACACGATCAAAGCAAGTGGACGCCCTGGCTAAATCGCGGCATAATCCCCATATGCCTTTCCACGTTTCTATTCCCACATTAAAGTGATGAATTTGTATGCCCACGTATTCATTGGAATTTTTTCGAAATATTTTTTTTGAAAATAATTGAATAAAATTTGATCCTTGGGAGTTTCATTATCCCGCATTTAATAGGGAGTGATGTCACAAAATGAATTACGCGCTTCAATACCGAAGTGTTTTCTGTCCTTAGTCGTTGTCCCGAGTTAGTTTGAAATGCACAGTCATGGCAAATGCATCTGAAAGGATCTAATCAGATACCCTATAATAAGTTGTTTTACGTCGATAAGCCCTCTCTATGGGAGTCGAGTATTCGAAAAGCATCTCAGTGCGAAGTATTTTTCACAGGATGGCAAGTCAACGTTCTCAGGGAAATAGTGACAAACGGGTCCGTTTCTCATTTAAAGGCAACAGTTTCATCGATGTGACTCTGCGGCCAGATTCTAACTGTTGTGTTAAGGATCATGTATCTCCGCGTGTCCTTAAGACTCAAAACCTATACTCATATCCTGACATTTTATAAATGGCTTTTGTAAACAATACTGATCTCATAAAAATTATTTGACTGTGCATTTAATAGATTGCTTTAATGTTATTCAGGCGATGAAGCATTCATGATTTGATAGGAATCTGTCACTACTTTTACGTCTATTGACAAAAATAACTTGACCGCTTCGTAAAGTGTTGAAACATGCTTGATAAGATGGTAATGTACAGAACGCCGCTGCTTTGACCTTTATGCAATAGTAAGAAAACCCCACAAACATACACATTATACTCACTCCAGTGAGTTATCTTAGCTGCAGAGCTCGTATCGCATCATTCCAATCATATCGCTATGACGCCGAACATTTGCTTCAAACATTATCAGCTTGTTTGGAGTCAACCCGTTTCATCAACCTGGCAAGTTAACGCTGTGAGCACTGTACTCACAATTGTTTATATATACATGCTGCAACCTATTTACAGTTAACCATTATGGTTAGGATAATGAACCTGAAATGGAAGCCTTCCGCACATTAGATCCTGATATATTCTTCAAGTAAGTGAGTTTAGTTTTACACCGCACTTTTCCAGTTATATGGCGGCGGTCTGTAAATAATCGAGTCTGGACCAGACAATCCAGTGATCAACAGCATGATCATCGATCTGAGCAATTGGGAATCGATGTGTCAACCAAGCCAGCGAGCCTGACCACCCGATCCCGTTAGTCGCCTCTTACGAGAGGCATGGGTTAATGAAGGTTCATTCTACCCCGGACCTTCACGGGTATATGTTCTTCAAGCATATGGATGCTGGACATAAACGAAGTCAAAATCGAAATGTTCACGTTC